ATTATATTGTGATGAATGATTACAGAACTATGCGTCTTCTGTCTAGCTGAATATACGGTTTTCCTCTGGCGCTCCATTTGTTTACTCCTGTTCAAAATAACTTCAAAATTCGCTTTATCCGTCAAACTTGTCTTTATCTACGATAAATGCCAATGGTACCAACCGAATGATCATAAGAAACCTATGATCCGTCACTTAACAGCCACTTTTCCAAGTCACTCTCGCGGTTGCAACTATAAAATGGCTTCTATCTCAAGTGTCAAAAGTCACTCAAGTCGTTCTTCGATAAGTGTCTCTCAAGTGACACTTGGCACTTGGACTATAAATACGGCCATCAGGCGCGAAGAGGCCGGAGTGGGGGTCGCCATGGCCGAGAAAAGTCGATTTACCCTCCCATAAAAAGTTATCACTTCAAAAATATATTTTCTACTGCACAAATAGAAAATTAGGACTGATTTTTAATAATACCAATATCTCGAAGATACTTTATTACGGTGGTAACAATAGACGACAAGACGGAATATCGCAAACGAAACGGGTGCAAAATAAATTCAAAATTGTATTACAAAAACAATGCAAATAATTAGCGAATGAATCAGTCCTCATGGGGCGAGGCGACACAATATACCTACAATATGTATGTCTTGGCACCAATCGAGACCAAGGTTAGTGAATAAATAGGCTCGGTCCAGGTAATGGAACTTCACATCTTCAATACCTACATAGTACAGAGCAATAAAAAAGAAATGTTCGGAATTGTCAGACAAATGTACGCTCTATCGATATGTACCGTAACAAGAACTACGCTCGTTGGCCCACTTTTCAAGAAATAAAGTTTTCAAACTGACTTGCAAAACTATTTCGCTACGAAGCCGCATATGCAACAGTCAGTGCAAAAATTGGCCAGTATTTCATAAAACTGGAAATGCAAGTGCAACTTTTACAAAAACGAAAAAATAGTGTTTTTCAAAAATTATTTTTTTGCCACTAACCACACAAAACTGCCATTGAAGCGAAATTTTCGGAAACGAGACAAAAAATTACACTTTATGCAAAATCGGGATCAATATTTCTTGTTTAGATCCCTTTGTACAGAAATAAATTTTCGCGAAAAAAGCAAAATTTTCTCTAAAAGGGGAAAAGTGCTTTTCGTCCAGTATTACAACAAGCATTTCTCCAGCTGCGACTGTTTTCGAGAAATAAATTTTCGACTGTTGCACAGCCGTTCCACTGTTACGTCCACTGGTGTACCAAAATGTTAAAAAAATCACCCGAAAGTGCAATTAAAGCGAAATGTTTGACGTTGTGGGATTGCATGGGGACAATCAATTGTTAACTCATAATTCTATAAATTATGATTTATTTCTATGTTTGAACAAAAAGGTCTAAACTACACTAATTTTCCAGCGAGATAAAATCTTAATTCTTTCTTAAAACAAAGCCGAAATGAGACTTATCTTTATCTATAATGAGTCTGGCGTCAGCAGGGTTGCCAGGTCCGAAAATCGAGTTTCGGTAGATACGCTCGACACTTTTCGGTAGAAAATCGGGAGACTCATTTTTCTTTCATCATTAAAGGCTCCATAAAATCGCGCGTTTTTCAAAATTTTTAAACTTACAGGAATACTAAAATAAACATGATAAACATAGATTAACCTGTGAAAATATCCGTTCAACTTGGCTGATGAGTGAGGTAGAATAAGCAGGTTACAAATAAACTTGGAAACACAAATGTATCAGCTCCATATTTCAATATTTGTACTTGGCTCCACAACTCTTCAATATTTCCAGAATTTTTTTAAATTTCTTCAACATTTCGCAACAGACGTCATTCTGTGTCCAGACCTTGTAATTCACTATCATTTATTAAATTTGGAAATATCATTGCAACACCAGAAATATCGGATTGTAGGGAACCTGATTTCACTATTGAAGGATCCATAAAACATAATTTTATCAATATGGCGGGCTTGATTGCATGAACCTACTTTGATCATTAATGGAAATATGTTATATTATTTTAAGTAATCCACGGAAATTTTTTCAATTTTTGTTTGTTACTTTTCGGTAGAAATCGGTAGGTTCCTTGACAAATCGGTAGACCTGGCATCTCTGGGTGTCACACACATTCATGGGTTAAAAATAGAACCACAACCGCCGGAATAGTGCACAGGGAGTGTTTTACATCGTTGCCATTTAGGGCTCATTTTCGAGAGTCTACCCTTAACAGGCATCAAGAAAAAATGTAAAAATCGTCAACATTTTTTTTAGAAACTATAAAAAAATGTATGATTGATCCAGTGTACCAAGAATTTCTCTGGTTAGTCCAAGTTAAAAAAAATATATAATTTTTCTACGAACCCGCATATGCTAGCGTCAGGGTAAAAATTCGCTAAAAATGAAAAAACTGTTGATGTTAGCCAAATTGTCTCCACCATTAGGTAAAAGTGCACTTTAACCAGCGCTAGAACAAGCGTTTCTCAGGCTATAACAGTTTTGGAGATGGCAAAATACATGTTCGTATAATCCCCTTTGTAAAGCCAATCCGCTGTATAGTCATGGTGCATAAAAATGTTTGAAAATTTGCCACAAATCACCGGAACGCTTGTAACACTCTTTGAGATACGAAGGATTCTAAGAACTAATCATGAAGCACGGATAAGGGCTTCTTCATTGACAATTACAATACCTTTTTATTATTATGCCCAATGGAATGTGGAGAGTACAATCTAACATAAAGGCCACTCTCAGTACAAATAACTATATTATCACCTTTTATAATCCCAATAGTACAATGTCTGACAGGATTAAAACAATTCGAGTGGGGTTAATGCCCTTCTGAGCTCTGAGAGATGAGCAGGCAATTAAACTTTAATTATTTGTTATTAACACATTATAAGAATGGTGAAAATGGCTTTGTGTCGCATCAAGAAAATGCCATTCTAATAATGGCATTTTTTTAGCGATAGTTTCAATCACGAAGATATTATTGTTTGAATAGTTGATTAAAAGGGCAATCAACATATCGATCGATTTTATGACTTATTTGGTTTGTAAGCAATAAATTGGCG